GTGCACAGTACCTCTATCAATCAATCATTCATCATGGTCTGTCAGCCAATCAGTTACAATGTCATCACTTATTCACTGTGCCAGTCAGCCCTCCTGTGGTTTGAGCTCAATTTCTTTTGGAACTGGAGAACAGTACTTCTCAGTGCTCTGAATTCTGTTCCCAAATGCTTTACTTTCCTTCTCCAGTCCTGATAATCCCTATTCTCTTCTCTTTCCTTTCCAGGTCTGCTTGTCTACATTCTTCTTTCCCACTTTCTCCACCTTAGCCAATAGCTTCCTTCCCTGAGCCAGGAAGGACTAATGAGGTCTGACGTGGCAGAGGTGTTCCTGCTACACAATCTGTCCTGGATCAGCCATGAAGTTTTACTTCCAAAGCTTCATCCCCAAGACTGGTAACTCATTAGATCATTCTTTTCCATTCTTGTCCTTCTGAAAGGAGAACTGAAGTGCACCATGGAAGTTGGCAACATAACCACAGTCACATTTGTCCTCCTAGGACTATCCAACAATCCTCAGATCCAGGCTCTGCTCTTTGTGCTCTTCCTGGGGATTTACCTCCTGACCATTCTGGGGAACCTGGCGATGCTGCTGGTCACCAGGGCTGATTCTCACCTCCACACACCCATGTACTTCTTCCTGAGTCACCTCTCCTTCTTGGATGCTTTCTATTCCTCAATCATTGTGCCTAAATTGCTAGAGAACCTCCTTTCCAAGTGGAAGACTGTTTCCTCTGTTGAATGTTTCACCCAGATCTCCTTGGTCATATTTTCTGGGGCCACTGAAACTTGCCTCCTTTCAGTCATGGCCTATGACCGGTTCCAGGCTGTGTGCCACCCACTGTTGTATGTGGTGGCTATGAATAAGAAGCTATGTACTGGCCTGGTGGTAGCATCCTGGGCCATAGGAGTAGGGACTAGCCTGGTTAACAGCATCCTTCTGGCTCAGCAGCACTTCTGTGGACCCAATCTTGTCCGTAGTTTTGCCTGTGAGCTTCCTCCAGTGCTCCTGTTGACCTGTTCTGACCCCTATGTTAGTGTTGCCTCCAACCTGACCACCATGGCAGTCCTGGGCCTTGGTACCTTTGTCCTATTGCTGGGCTCCTACACTCGTATCATCATGACAGCCCTAGGAATCAACTCTGCCACCGGTCGGAGAAAGATCTTTTCCACCTGCTCTTCTCATCTTCTTGTGATCACCAACTTTTATGGTTCAGGAGTTATCAGGTATGTCATACTATAACCTCCCAAATGTCAATGTAGGATATCCCTTACCCAAAAGTGTCCTGGTCTGTAGAACAGAGCATTGCAAAATAGCAAGAAAATGACTGGATTGGAATTCAGAAGGCCTGAGTTCTAGTTCTGGCTCTGCTGTAGACGAGCTGTGTGAATTATAAAAAATCTATTTTCTTTCTCAGGTCTCAATTGTCTAACTCTGAAAGATGAGCTTATAAAAGGACTAGAGACATTCTTATTTTTGTTAACTTATGATTGATAGGAAAAGGAAATCAGAAAGCCCTTGGTAGATTTTTATTCAGTGCTAGACAAAACAATAAAACATATCATTCTTGAAACAGATGATATCTTTTTTCCTACTGGAAGATGATGTCTCTGAAGCTTATTTGTGCTATAAGTATTTATTAGACACTTTCCATACACCATTTTATGTAGTCAAGCTCAATTTTAATATGTAGCACACTATAAGAGAAATATTATTAATCTCACTTTCAGGTAAGGAACCTAAGTTTCAAGAGTACCAAGTACTCAAAGTCCCCAGAGCAAGTTAGAAATTGAGCCATAATATAAGTGACTCCAAATCTCATGCTCTTTCCTACCACGCTTGTCTCAAACATAAACAGCTCTAGCTGACAAGTCCTCACTTACTAGGAGCAGAATAATTAATGGCCCATGATGTCTACTGGTGAACTGGAGATGGATTTATACAAATTGCTCCATACTTTTCTCACTTGCCTGTTACTTAGAGAGAAGGCAGGAGAAGAAAAAGATGATAAGGAATAGTCCAGAAGAGCTCATTTGAGGCTGTGGACAAATCTCTTTATCTTCTTGTATCCTATTCTTCATATACCATAAGGAGACTATAAGATGGCTCCTACCTACTCCACAGAAATATTAGGAGGGATAGATTAGATGAAGAAAAATGACAGTAAAATGAATATCTTTTTAAATCAAGCACACCAGAACCTGCAAATAACATTCCAATGATGATGGCACTGTTGAAATAAATAAATAAATAAATAAATAAATAAATAAATAAATAAATAACACTTCTTTGGGAAATACTCCCAGTGATCCTCAACAAAATGAACCTCAAGGGACACAGAACATGAGAGACTTCCAACTCTGGGAAACGAACAAGGGGTGGTAGAAAGGGAGGTGGGTGGGGGGTGGGGGTGACTGGGTGACAGGCACTGAGGGGGGCACTTGATGGGATGAGCACTAGGTGTTATTCTATATGTTGGCAAATTGAACACCAATAAAAAATAAATTTAAAAAAATGATCCTCAATATTTAACCTTATTATTTTTGATTCGTATCTTGTGCTTAACACATTTTTATCTTCCACTTTATTTACCAAGCTTGGCTTCTTTTCTAAACCAAAGAAAAAGGCACCTAAAAGGACAAATGTTTGTTCCACTAGCATTATATAAAATGATGTGCCGTGACTGAGGGTAATTCCCAGAGCCATAAATGTTGGGAACAATGATAGCATTATTAGAATAACCATACACTTTTGTAAGAAACAATCCTCACAAGATGAGAACATACAGTTGTATATACAAGGAAAAGAAGGGGAAAAAATCCTCACACCTTTGTCCTAACTATTAAGAAAATATGCTTTGAAGACTTTGAAGTACTACAGAAACAAATGAAATTGTTAGTTTTATTCTAACCTTCAGCACTTTCCTTTTCCTTGGGGCAGCTCTTACAAGATAACACATGTTTGGAGGCATTGAAGGTAGAAATGACTCAGCTCTCCCTAATCACACAATCATATCTAGATGCTGTTACCACCATTAGTCCATTCAGCTCTGAGGACCCTCTTTGCAGTCTCTGGGATGGGATGGACCATGGCTGCCAACAGTATTGTGACCATTGTTCTGGTCTCAGTTTACTCATTTGTGCTATTCCCTCCAAGGTACATGACCCCAGCATCCGGCTCAGCCCTGGAACAAGTACTCTCCATGCAATACAGTGTGGTGACCCCACTGCTAAACCCTCTCATCTACAGTCTGAAGAACCAGGAAGTGAAGGCAGCTCTCAGGAGGGTGCTGGCCAGGAAGCCCAGGCTTACCTTGTAACCTAGCTCCACTGCATCCTCTCGCAACAGGAGAAAGAGTTGTGCAACAGAAGAGGAAGCAGGAAGAGCTATTACCAGGTATCTCAGCATTCTTCCTTTTGCAAAAGAGAAGCATTAGTTCCTCTGACCCCAAAATCCTCTCCTAATGAAGCGAGATGGGGATACCTCCATGGAGCATCTGATATCTATCCACAGGAGGCCCAGTTACCACTCAAGAAAATTCTCACAAAAAAACCTATGAAGGATCCCAAAAAAAATAATAAAGAACTATTACATGATCCAGTATTCCCAATTTGGGGTACTTATCCAAAGGAAATTATATGTAGATGTCAGAGGAAAGTAGCATAGAGGAGAAATTGGGATAGACAGAGAGAAAGAGGGACACCTGGGTGGCTCAGTGGTTGAGCGTCTGCCTTCAGCTCAGGGCATGATCCCAGTCCCGGGATCGAGTCCCAGGAACAAGTCCCAGGATTGAGGCCAGGGATCAAGGCCCTCATCAAGGCCCATATCAATGTCCACATCAGGTTCCCGGCTGGGAGCCTGCTTCCCCCTCTGCCTATGTCTCTGCCTCTCTCTCTGTCTCTCATGAATAAATAAAATATTTTTTTAAAAAAAGTCTGTTTCTTGGTTTGCCTCTCTTTTTTTTACCAAATGTTCACCTTTCCCATATGTTCATGTTTTGTTTCTTAAATTCCATATATGAGAGAAATCATATGGTATTTGTCTTTCTCTGACTGAATTATTTCACTCAGCATAATACCCTAGCTCCATCCATGTCATTGCAAATGGCAATGGCTGAGCTGACTGTAAGGGTCCTGTGATCCTCTCACAGCACTTTGTGAAGGATATTTCCTTATCTAAAACAAAAACAAAAACCAAAAAAAAAAAAAGGATATTTCCTTACCTCAAGAGTAAGGAAGTCCCTCAAACCATGCAAGTCACCCATTTCAGATTCTTTTCTTTTTAAAGATTTTTTATTTATTTATTCATGAGAGACACAAAGAGAAAGGCAGAGACATAGGCAGTGGGAGAAGTAGGCTCCCTGCAGGGAGCTCGATGTGGAACTCGATCCCAGGACTCCGGAATCACAATTTGAGCCAAAGGCAGATGCTCAACCACTGAGCATCTATTATAGATGTCCCCCCATTATAGATTCCTGGTGCCCCATCCTTGCCCTTGTCCTTTCTGTTCTTCTCCTATCCCACATCTCCACCAGTCAAAATCCAACTCATACTTCAAAACCAACTTAACTGTCACTCCTTTCATGAATCCTTCTTTGACCTCTTTTTCCCATAGCACTCCCCTAAATAAAGTACCTTTTTCTCTTATGAATGCTTGAAGAACATTTCTAACCTCTCTCATGATGCTATGACATTATTCCTTGTATTATAATTATTTATCAATATTTATCTTCTCTTTCCTACTTGTCCGTGAGGAAAGAGACCCTCTTGCCAATTTTTGACTCCCTCGATAGTTCCTTGAATATGCCAAATGATCAGTAACCTTGTTGAATTGAATTGGTACAGAAAGTAACCTCCGTCTTTCTATTATAAGTTCAGCCTATTTCCTCTTCAATAGAGATGAGAGGTGACTATGACCTACAACTTCAATGTCCACCCATTCATGCTATTTCCTCCTCCTCCCTCTGGGAAGAAAATACAGCTAGTCATTCAAAATCAGGCCCTTTATTCAAGACAGAGATGAAATCCATTGTTGTACTGAAAGTGCCATCAGAGGGACTGAACAAGGGTCAAAAGTCCAGTGTACCAGCCATGCATTGCTGGAGAATAGTCCTCAAGTGTCCAATGGTGTCACCACAGGGCTCAGGATTCAGAGACAAATCAGCTTCAAGGAAGAAGAAAGAATCAAACTGAGGTAGCCTTAGGGAAGAGGCATTCCGGGAACATACAGAAGCAGAAGCACCAATGACAGCAGGCACTCACAACTTCTCACAGCGCCACTGCTCCAGCTTCTCAGAGCAGAGTGGTTTATGGGCCAACCTGATAATGGAAAAGGAGACAGGACAAGTTGGCTAACTGGATCTTTTTTTTTTTTTTTTTTTTTGGCTAACTGGATCTTAGCTTGAACTTCCATCTAACTTTACCCGCAGGAGGGCCAAGGTGGTAGAGTGTGGATGAAAATTAAAGAAAGACTTTCCTAGCCAAATGGCAAGGGACACGGAGCCACCTAGTGGATAGCATCCACTTTAAAACTTCAAGAAAATTGTAGGGCTGGAAAGGACATGAATGGTATCAAGGGCTTACTTCAGGGTCTAGGACTAAACAATCAGAAATAGATATCCATGTTCAGGTGAAGGGAGACCTAGGTCCCAGTCCTCTATTCCCTATGCTTAATAGGAATATTACCAAACAAGAGTGTCATGGAGGAGGCTTGAAAATTGGAAACCTGAGTCTGCTGGATGAGTTTTGTTTTGGAAAATACATTCTACATTAAATAGCCAGGAGATAGAAGGAGAGGGCAGTGGTGCTGGCCTAAAGAAGTGAGAAAAAGGAAGAGAAGGGAAAAGTAGAAAATAGAATGAGGATTCACCAGTAGTCAATTCCTTCCTTATCCAGGATCTTCTTGGCACAAATCATGTCATCAGTAAGGTCATCATCCAGGAACTCTGGCAGGAGTTACAAGGACAGGAATGTGAGAGCTAAGTATTACCCAGAAAGATAGTGAGTTCCCTCTTCCCTGGATCAAGCAAGTCTGGTCCTTCTCTGAAATGTAGGCTTATGCCTCTTGTCTTCCTATATTAGAAAGCCAATACGGTAATGCCCCCCTTCACTTCTCTTGGGTATCTTCAGAGGAATTATCAGCTTCATCAACTCTGAAAATGCAGGGTATCAGACTTCAAGATTTCCAAACCGCTAAGCTCATCTACTTCAGGGAACTGCCTGCGGCTTTGGTGAACATGAAAATTCTAACAGCCTTTTACTCAGCACTGTCTATTCAAGTCCCACACCACAATTAAAGTGGAGTAGAAGACAATGAAGTCAGAGGTGTCCTTGATACCAAAAATGAGATTATCCCAGGGGTAGGCTCCAGGAAAACAGAGGAACAAAGTAAAAGGGACTACTCACTGTCACAGGAGATGTCACAGATGTTCTTTGACTGAAGGTTCTGGTCATCCTTGCACCAAAATTTATTGCTGATCTGGAAAAGTCCATATTCTGTGCCACCATTGTTATTGACTATGGTTTGTGTGTCATAACCACTGGTATGAAATATAGTACAGATCCCTGAGGGAAAGATGAAAAAGGGCTATCACAGAGGTGTCCAAACACAGCATTTATAGCATAAATGAGGACCTGTATTACCAGACATAGAAAGACTCTCTAATTAATTTCCAAATATGACAATGCACAAAGTATCTTAATGAGAAGAAGAGTTCCAATAAGGATCAGATGATAAGAAATGGAAGATACATGAATAGATGTAACAAAAGAGTAAACAGTTAAGAAGATAAGAGGATTATTATATAATTGGATGAAAATGGAGAGGAAAATGAGGGTAGAAGAGACAGGTAGATGAAAAATGAGATGAAGCAAGGCAGCAGGGAACTCACATTCAGGCAAAGCAATGCCTCCAAAGCCATCCATGTCTTTCAGCACCTGGGACAGCTCACATTTTGTAAATTGCTTTGCCTGGATGGCGGGGAACAAGATGCCAACCAGGAGCAGAGAGACAAAGGACATCATTTTGGCTGCCCCCAAGAGCCTGAAATGGAGGCACCACACAACTCCACCTCCTTTTATTTGTGGAGAAAGCCTCAGGGGCCCTGGAATAAAGCCCTACATCCTGGAAGAGGATAAAGAGAGACTGGCCATGCCAGCTGAGCCTGCCAGCTTCCTTCTGTACTTTCACCCCATTTTTCCTTCTCCTCCCCTACTCTCTAGTCCATACCAGGTATTGTTTTCTGCCCAGAGAGAGTTTCAAGCATGATTCTGTTCCCATTTGGTTTTGTTTGTACCTTTGTTTCTTGAAGGAAGCAGGATGTCCCCAGTCTACCTCAGGAACAAAGGAGGCTTCAGGGCTAATATGAGTGAGGCAATCAGAAAATAAAATAAGGGCCCATGGCCAACACCCCCTGCCCCCTAGAGACATACAGAATATGGAAAGGGAGTATATGTCATTACATGCCATAGTCCCAGGATCAGAGCTGGCAGTTGTCCAGTCAATCCAGGCATTCAGCAAAGCCCAGAAAGAATCCCATGATATGGTGGTTCATGGCTAGGGGCTCAGGAATAGGGAAAAACTATAGCAACATAGACTATAAAAATCAGATATAACCTGGATCCAGAGACTTCCTACTTCAGGAAAACAGAGAATTTGAAAAGTATGTATGACAGTATCTAGCTATCCTATGAGCTATTACCAGGCTCTCCACCCCTAACCACCACTACCACTAAATAGCCAGGTACTACATTTATGTTAATTAAGATATTATGTAAATCCAAAAGTAATAACTTGTAGATTTGTCATGGGTATAGAAACTTATAGACAGCCTCAGAGTTGGTCACAAAAGGTTAAAAAGACAGTAACACAAGCCAGTGGGAAGATAAGACTTTGAGCACTTTAAGATTGGACTAGGACATTCTCGCATCTGGCTCCTTGTGGGGAGCCTGCTTCTACCTCTGTCTCTGTCTCTCTCTCTTTCTCTCTCTCTCTCTCTCTCTCTCTGTCTCTCTGTACCTCTCCCTCCCTCCGTCTCCCCTCCCCTCCCCTCCTTCCCTCTCTCTCCCCCTTTCCCCCTTCATACAGTGCTCTCTCTCTCTAAAAAAATCTAAATAAGTACAATTTAAAAAAAAAGTTCGGTCACATGGAATCGAGACTGCTGGATAACGATAAGGAAAACAACTCCATGTGTGAGAAAGTAGGAGACACGTAGAAGAGATTCGTTTTTATCCAGTCCTCACCTATGTAAGAGAGTGAAAACTTCTCAACATTAAAGGAGCTGCATTTTGGGGACAACTCTAAAAGCACCTGTAGGGCAGCCTGGGTGGCTCAGCGGTTTCGCGCTGCCTTCAACCTGGGTGTGATCCTGGAGACCCAGGATCTAGTCACACGTGGGGCTCCGTGCATGGAGTCTGCTTCTCCCTCTGCCTGTGTCTCTGTCTCTCTCTGTGTCTCTCATGGATAAACAAATAAAATCTTTAAAAAATAAAAATAAATAAATAAAAATTAAAAAATAAAAATAAATTTAAAAAAAAGATTGGACTAGGATATAGTTAGAGTCTATAAAACAAGATTCTGGATCTGAGCTTTTTTAAGATCGGTGCCATTGAGCAAGTAGAGTTGTGAGTACTAGTTCTAAATAATTACTCCAACCTGCTGGCATCAAGCTTCATGTCATGATGCCAATAACTATTAGCCTCCTTCATGGCAGGGCTCATTCTCTTTATTCTAAGACTTCCAAATTGAAGGTATTCCTAACTGTTATATCCTACAACTCTTCAGAATCAGGGCAAACCCCTCTCAGTTTTATCTGTCTTCCATATCATGGATAACCAGTATGTGCAGTAGCATAGCATGAGTGAAACAAGTATACAGGATCTTGGTGCCAAGAGAGATGAACAGAAAGTCCTGATAGCAAAGAGATACATGTTCAGAAACAGTGAAATGTTACTACTGCCTTTCTCTTCCATTCTACTCAGAGGCATTGAGAGGTGCATGAAGAACAAAAATAGGAATTCTATCACACTAAACAAGTATGATTGAAAATATGGCTGGGAGCAGAGGATGATCTTGAACCATACAAAAGAGGGACAGATAAATAAAGCTAGTCCTGGGATGCCTAGGTGGCTCAGTGGTTGACCATCTGCCTTTGGCTCAGGGCGTGTTCCCGGGGTCCTTGGGGTTGAGTCCCACATCCGGCTCCCCTCAGGGAGCCTACTTCTCCTTCTGCCTATGTCTCTGCCTCTCTCTGTCTGTCTCTCATGAATAAATAAATAAAATCTTTTTTAAAAAAAGAAAGAAAGAAAAAGCTAGTCCCGAGGACTGGTCTCTCCAATAGTGAAATCTGATGTAAAATGCCTCCTGCACTGACCTATGGACTAAGTACTTGTGATAGAACAAAATGGTGGGCCAAGATATCAGGAATCACAGGGGTTTACTATACTTCTAGCCAAGTCAAGACTTACAGTAGCAGCCTGCTTGCCCAAAATTTGGTTGTGTCTCTGCCCTTCCCTGAAGCGATAAAAAGCAGTATTCAGATCTACACAGCTAAGCCCAGAAAATAAATGTGCCTCAGGCAAGAGGAGCCATTATTTCCCTGGAAATGTTTGTAAAATAGCATATCTAGTGGTCATCTGAAAAAGAAGATGGGAGATGTCTAAAGGGAACAATTACAAGCATTCAGAGAAAGACACAGATTCTTGGCGATACACCAAAGAAGAACAACAAACAAAGACCACAGCACTGAAAGAGGAAACATACGGAAAGATACCAGCACAGCTAATGAAGGAAAGCTCCAGCTACCAGACAGGTAGGGTCCTCTGTGTGTAGGCTGAGATCTGAATTAAAGCAGTGAGGAGGCATTGACCACACATGGATTTTTCAGGAATGTGCTAGGAAGCTGTTCATTCTCTCAGATGCTGTGCTAAAACTCAAGTTTCCCAAGCCAGACTTATTTGAAGGACTTCTAGCGATTAAGGAATCAAAATCATCTGCTTCAAAACGCAGTTGGCAGGTGCCATCCAAAACTGTAGCTTGCAGATGAGTGGTAATTTATAGAGAGAGCCCAGGGCTACTGTTTGGAGGAACACCCTCCAAACCCTAAATCCACAATAATATTGATTATTACTTCTTCTGGTTAATACACTCACCTGTTCTACTTCCTCCCATAATCCAGGAAAATTATCACTAGGTGCACAATGAGACTAGATCTTGGACTTGACACAAAAATTTCAGACAAATTATTAATTGAATTAGAGAGTTATTTATAGCAAATAACATTTGGAAAGGGAGTGATTTCTACTGGTGCTTTTCTTTTGGGGTTGCTTGTGCAAAAGTCCTTGCAAAGTCACTTAGCACTATGGATTCACATTCTGTATCTGCACCAAAGTCTTCTCAATTTACATAGCTTATTTTGAATTGTTGTATTTGTACCACTATTTCTATAACTGCTCTTCTGCTTAATGATTCATTTCTGTGAACTGAGAAAAGTATCAACAAAAAATGCAAATATACAAATATAAATCATAACTTGCAAATTATTTTAAAATATACTAACTAGGGAGGCCTGGGTGGCTCAGTGGTTGACCACCTGCCTTGGGCTCAGGGTGTGATCCTGGGGGTGCAGGATGGAGTCCCACATGGGGCTCCCCACAGGGAGCCTGCTGCTCCCTCTGCCTGTGTATCTGCCTCTCTGTGTGTGTCTCTCATGAATGAATGAATGAATGAACAAAATCTCTAAAATATACTAACTATACAAATTATTTTAAAACATACTAAAATAAATTTTACCTTTTTAATGAAATATTAATTAAAACAAATTCATAGGTCTGTAATTACCAAGAATGCAAATCTTAACCTATTTTTCATTTTTTTAAAAAAATTTCTTTATTTACCTATTTATTTAGAGAGCATGAGTGAAGGAAAGACAGAAAGAAATAAATTTATAATAAATTTCTTTATAAAGAAATAACTAGGGGTGGTGGAAGGGGAGGAGGGTGGGGGGTGGGGGTGACTGGGTGGCGGACACTGAGGTGGGCAGTTGACAGGATGTGCACTGGGTGTTATTCTGTATGTTGGCAAATTGAACACCAATAAAAAATAAATTTATAAAAAAAAGAAATAAATTTTCTTTATTTACCTATTTATTTAGAGAGCATGAGTGAAGGAAGGGCAGAAAGACAGGTAGAGGGAGAAGGAGACTCTCCCCTGAACACAGAGCCCAACATGGAGCTAGATCTCAAGACCCTAATATCATGACCCAAGTCAAAATCAAGAGTCAGATGCTTAACCGACTGAGCCACACAAGTACCCTCATTTTAATTTATAAAATGTCTATGTTTATTTTTCAAGATTTTATTTATTGATTGATGAGAGAGGCAGAGACACAGGCAGAAGGAGAAGCAGGCCAGACCCCCCACAGGGAGCTTATCCTGGGATAAGAGGATAAGTCCTCTTATCCCAGGACTCCAGGATCATGACCCGAGCTAAAGGGAGACACTCAAGCAACCACTGAGCCACCCAGGAGTCCCAAAAATTTTTTTTAACTTATATAAAATTTGTAAGAATATTATAATCAACTCACATTTACTCTTTGTGTAGTAGATTCACCCACTGTCAACATTTTGCCACATTTGCACATTCTCTTTCACATTCTTTTTTTCTCTTATTAGGCTTCATTAGATAAATATTTAATTAAGATTTGAGATAAAGGTGCACAACATGATTATTTGACCCACATGTATACTGTGAAATGATTGCCACATTAAGTTTAGTTAACATCCCTAGTCCCTCACGTAATGACAGTTTGTGTACATGTGTGCCTGTGGTAAGAATATTTAAGATTTACTTAATGTTCTTAGCAAGAGGTTGTCTTTTCGTTTTGTTGATTGTTACTTTTGCTGTACTTTTGCTGCTACTTTTTCTTTTTACTTTGACATGATCCCACTTGTTTATTTTTGTTGCTTGTGCTTTTGATGTTATATCAAAAAATCATTGCCAAGACCAAAGTCAAGGAGATTTTTCC